TCACAGCCGTGACCAGGAGGCACATTTTTATGGAGGGGCTTGTGATAGCCTGGAACCAGCTGCCTGCCATGTGTTCCCAGGCCAAAACTCAAGCTCACGTCTAAAAAATTCCCTTGCTCACCCTCACTCCGCGGATCTCTCTCCCTCAGACGGGGTGCAGCGGAGCCGCAAGTTCCACGAGCGCAGGATGGCGGCCGCCGCGCGACTGCTGGACGTCGTGCAGGACCTGGAGCGCGCTCACCTGGCCTTCGAGCGGCGAGAGAAGGAGGAAGCTGCCAACGAAATCCTGTCCCCCTAATTCTGCCCTCTTGGGAAAAGAGGTGGGGCCGTGGTGATGACATCACTCGCGGGAAGCCACACCTGTTTCCCAGCAGCCCCTGCAGGCAGGACTATCCCAGGTGTCCTTGGTGCCATGTCCCAGACTGATGCTTAAGATTGTGGGCTTGCCTGTCAGACAGTTGTCAAGTCTTTTAAAAAGCAAAGACAGGGAAGAGGGAGTTGCAGGCGCAAAACCCTCTCTCTGGGATGCTAGAAATGCACCTGACTCACAAGGGTCAGAGATTTTTTTTACAGGTGGCTAACAAAAAAAAAACTTAGTGCCTAAATTCAATGCAAAAGAGTACATCCTGAGACAGGAGCTATGCCACTGTGGGATTTAAACAGAATCAGACATTGAAATACCGAAAGAAGTCTGACACTGCACTCAAACTAGCACGGAGCTAGTCGATCCAGACTTCAAAATCAAAAACTATACACTGACAAGCAGCATAAAGGTTATACACTGGATAGTCCAAAAGCTTAAACAGTGTGGACTTATTTGAGCTTTCCTTGCACACACATGGATTGTTTTATGGCAGAAGCTACTGTAGCTGAAGAGGGTTGTTTCAAACCGATTCTAGCTATTGGATTAGTATTTTCAGGTTTTCTGACACAGCTAATATCACAATGCATTTCAAAGACAAGCCAGACAATACACATTCAATATACATTCTGACCAAAACATTAACCTTGGGAATTCTGGAAACAAAATGCAGCACGTCTTTCATGTAAGTGTCTAGATTTACCCTGCCTTTAAGGCCAGTTGATCGACTGTGCAGTGTGGAAACCCATTTCTTCTTCAACACAACTCTTTTGTAACTGCTATTGCCTTTACACTTGAAGATGTATCACAATGGCAAAGCCTAATGTAGCAGTTTTTTATTTTTAGTGTTCAAGTCTGAAGGAAGCAATTTGATAATTTGGGTCCAATTTCTTCATAAGTGTTTAGCTCTTTTTCTAGATCTCTTCATCATTCCTTCTCCTCCTCCTGGGGCCACTTGCCCCTGTCTCTCACTAAACGGCTTTAGCAGCTGCCAGTTTCCCTCTCTCCCTCACACCTGAAGAAGGCTCCTCGGCCGAAACGTTGCGTCATTATCTTTCTGCACTGAATATACTTTTACCTGTTTCTTTGCAACCTATGTATACTGATGCAGCTACCTATTTGATACTTCATATAATATATATTACTATAAATGTAGTCATATATATTATACAATACTGTGCAGACGTTATGGATGCTTTCCATCTATTGACTGCTACGTTATTTACGTCTGCTTTATGTTTTTTACAATTTCCCTCTTTTGGTTGCTGAGGTATTTACGATATTTGCTTTATAATTGCTTAACACTTTAAATCTGATTACCAACATAACTTCAAGGAGTTTTGTTCTGACATCAATAGCATTTTGGCAAGTATCTCTCAGCACTTTTGTTTATAATGAGCTTAACTTCATATCCTGTTGGTTTGAACAGCATGTTCCTAATTATCATCTCCTGATCTAACAAGGAAGACTTTAAAACTCTTTTGCTCAACTGCAATTTTTTTCCACACTTTCAAAAACTATGGTCTAGCGAAAAACATGTAATTTTTCTTTGCAAATGCAGAAAATAGGTGTTTTTCTCCTTATTTAAAAAAAAAAGGCCATCCTTTAAATTCGTCTTGATCTCTTATTTCATGGACTGTTGGTGGGAATTGTTTGTTTTTATTATTAATCTTTGGAATGTTTTTAATACTACAACCAACTAAAACCAAGAATCCAGCCCCTAGTGGGTGTGAACTCGTGCCTGCCTGGCCTGTTTGCCTTCCGTTGCGGATGGGAATTTCAAGTGTAATTGCTAAATCAAGCTTTAGGGGGCACTGGTTTCACAGTTAAACAGACATTATCGATGGAAACTGTGCTCAGGAGGACAGTGGTGATTCATTTCCATGAAAGAAGGATGAGCAAGCGGGGCTCTGAACGGTCACAACAGGATGAAAACTATTGTCATGGATGAGGCCATCTCCAGCTGTTGTATGAATCTAAATAGTATTAAGAGGGACAAAGCAGCCAAAGGTGATGATTCATGATCTAAAGGCAGTACCTACCTTCTGTGTCTTCGCATCTCAAAAGTGTGGCTGATCCATCAATTGGGAACGTTGTACTTGCAACTCCACGCTGGATCCACCTCATTTTACCAAACTGGCTCGGAGCATCTGGCTCCATAGTTGAGGAAGTGTATTGTGGTACAGTACCCTGGCTCCATGTTGGCAATGAGCAAACGAGAATGTGTGCATTGCTACTTTCTCACCTGGAACGTGTGTTGTGGATTGGCCACGCATAGTGAGAAAAGAAAATTTTGGGGACTCTGGCTAAACCTTCATATAGGACCAAAGGCTTTTTGAATGCTAGCTCTCGCTTCCTCAGAGTTTGCTCTTTTCCAATGTCTTTTTCCTGAATTAAATGGACTTGATCAACCAGAAGAAGGATAAATCCAGACTTTCATCCTTATATGACAGCTGGGTCATACAGTAGTTGGTCAAAACCTTACTGTCTAAAAACCTGCAAGTCAAGAGAAGTCTATGGGAAATCAGTTGTACAATAAGTTTTTGTTAATATAAAGGTACATTCTCGTAAGAGCATGTCTAATATTTAGTCTTGTTTTGCTGCCTTATTGTTCAATGTGTGCAATTAAAAGAATGGTGTAAGTACTTTGTAGGTGGTTTATAGCAGACTTTGTCCCTGCTAGAGTGCTTTTGTAACTGCAAAGACATATATTTTACTGTGTGAAAACGATATGGCTTTTTGAATCAGCCATTATCTGGTCACATTGTGGAAAAAGAATGTCTGCTTCAGTCACCTCTAGTATATGTATAGGTTTCCACTCAAAACAGAGTTGAGCTTCAGTTGTTTCTAGACTGTCTGTCATAAACACAACAAGTTGCTTGTAAGTTGATTTGCTTAATTGGGCAACTGAGCAAACCTAGCGCCTAGCGCTAAAAAGCACTGTTGACAATGCACTCCAGTTGTTGCAGCATGGCCTTGTCTACCTCACTTAATGTATTTTGGGGATTCTTGTACAATATTGCAATTTGCTCATCTTCCTGGGAAACACTTTAGGCTAAACATTTTCAGCTTGCAGCAGATAATATTAGTGACGATGCATGCCACCTGGTTTTGTTATTCTATATGGGTTTTGTCCTGAAAGGCTTCGGTTAAACTCTGCTGGTGCCGCAGACACTTCACACTAATTTAGAAAGCCCTTGCATTGGTGCTGATGTTTCTTTAAGTGTTTTAAAAGTGCCCTGAACTTGGTTTTACATGCTCTTGGAAGTTACCAGTCAAAGATTGGTTTTGTAATGAAAAAGTGACATTTGACTCTAGCATTTTGTTTTTCAGAACAACATGTCAATGAAGAAGTTTTTAAACTATTTATTCTTCCCTGATAACCTTTCTCAAGAGGTCTGCTATAATGTATTTTACTGCAGCTTCCTTCTTATATAGTTGTGATTAATGCAGTGCCTTGTCAGGTTAGAATGAGTAGCCTTGACACACAGATAATATATCTGAAACAAAACATTGGGCACTAGACTGAGCAGATGTGCTCACATTCTTGTCAGATAGCCTGTCCTTGTACATCAAACTGTATTTGAAGGAGATACTGTCACTTATATTTATTACAAGAGCAGCTAATGTTGTGAAACAGGACAATTCAGGTTTTAACAGAATTGCTTATCGTAGTAGATCTCTGTATTTGAGAAAAATCAGACATACTGTAGAATCATTTTGTTTTCCACTTCTTCCCTGCGGCAGGACATTGCTTTGGTTAATACTGAGAGAACCAAGTGTCTGAATTTACACTAAAAATGATTTCCCCTGTACTAAATTCCCCTTTTATTATTCGGTCTGATATACAGTACATAAGGAGTAGCCTCTGAAGTACGTTTCTTTGTGGTTTAATAGTAAAGCAGGTCTTGTAGGGACATATCTTAGCAGAATGTGTGACAGTGAAGTACTGGAAGAGTGATGAGGAAGAATTTAGCAATCGAACGCAACGAAACATAAACTGCCCCCAAGCTTGGTATGTTATGGCGCTCAAAGACAAAGCCTTGAAAAATCCAAAACAATGGATTAAATTAACAGCAAATCCTTTACAGTGGTAATTAACCAGGCTGCTTCCATGTTTTCAATCGATCTTTTCAAAATGTCCCGTGACGGTTTGAGTTGCGTTTTCACATTGACTAGATAATTCTCACGTGCCCTTATTTATTATTGTGTATCAAATCTAGCCTAGGTCAGAATCTGCATTCTTAAGATTTACTGAAAACATTTCAAATACTGAGCTTTTGACACAGTTTGTCTTAGAGTAAAATGTATTTTGTACATTTAATGGTAGTGAGGTCTCTTACAGAATGAGGTGATGTTGAATCTCACTAAAAATCTTTATGAATATTTCTATAACATTTGGAAGACATGTTTTATGATTATTGTTGTGTGTGCCAGTATATATTAACACTTGTGAAGCAGAAGGGGAGATTAATGCCAAACAAATTTGCCAAAATGTATTCCTGTGAAAGCTGGTAACATCTGAATATGTATGCCTTGATGTATAAAGTGATTAAACATATGGCTTTGAAGAAACAAAAATCTTTTTTGATCAATTTTTTTATTTCCATGTCAGACCTGGAAAATTTGGGTCTAATATCTTTTCAGTTTAGCATGTAATTTAGGAAGATTTATAACTGAAGCCATTAATGTTTCATCTCTTATTGATTAATAATGAGTATTATGTTTATGTCCTGTCTATTTAGTAGATTATATTGAAAAGTACAGCTTTTCAATGCTTTTCAGTGGGAGAAAATATTTAGAGGGAATATATCTCTTCGAATCACTCTGTGTCCAAATGTCGTTTCTTCCTTATCAGCTGTTCTGCTTTGAGAAGTCTCATCGTAAGCCACCAGAGTGGGAAGTAAAAACAACCAGCAGAAACATCGTGGCTCAAGGGAGAAGTTAGAAGTTTCACTGAAATGTGCTTCACAATTCTGAGACTGTCTGAGCACGGTAGGGATTAAGGGAATTTGACCACAATAAAAGTAGGCAACATATTTTCTAACTGGGGAGAGCTACTGCATGAGATTTGGATTAATCAAATCACTGCTTTAGAATGCAATGAACCAGTGATGTACTGTACTGCATTTATCAGCCAATGGTCAGGCTTCGGAGCATGTACAGTAATGGAGCGATTTGAATCGCAGGACACACGAGGTCACACAACCTCCTGGAGTAGCTCTTTTTTGTTTACTATTGATTTTTTAATCTGCTCTGTTCACTGCACTAAGCCAAACCATGACCAACCTGGGCTGTGTGTTTTAATGCTTTAAGCCACTGTGGGTGTGGAAGGAGGGAAGGGTAGGCTGGCCAGGCAACAACAGATTGATTACATGCACAATTGCTCCTTGCTTTACTGAGTCGAAATGACTGCCGTCACTCCCTGAGGAAAATCTGAAAAAGACAGGTTCGATATAGGGAGAAACCTGGCGACGATGATGTATGTACATCTGCATTTCTCAGGCAAGCATGTGGTCACTCATGAAGAACTTAGTACTGTGTGTGTCCCCAAAGCAATTGAGCTTGCTTAAATTCTTGTATCCTATTTTCTAATGACCAGTAACCCTAATATAAATACAATTTGCATATTTTTTTCAGGAAGAGAGCATTTCTTACTACAGTTTACTTTACAGTTATCTAATTAGAAAAGTAATCAAACTTGTCTTTTGAAGTAAATTGTTTTCAATAACATATAGTGTGTATGTTTAAGTTAAAATTGAGAGAGGAAAATATTATCTAAATTTAGACTATATAAACAAACATTTAAAGACTAATGATTATGGGAAAGCGTTTCTTAAGACTTAAGGAAAGAACCCTTAATCATAAAAAAAACAGTTGACTAGCAGTCTGTATACAGAGCTTCAAGATGTATTATTTCCTGTCCAGTCAATTCAACAAAACCCATGTGCTCACCGAAAGCCTGGCTCTTGAGCTGTTGCTGCAGCTGGTAACATGCTGCTTCATAAACACAAATCTCCTCTGTAATGTAATTAAAATTGAATCTGCCTCTCAGACCACACACTGCGAAATCCTCCCAGGATATTAACTCATTCACTCCTGTTCTTCAGCTGTGATATTCTTCCACAGGGTCTGCGCACTCTCTCATATTGATTGTATTTATAGCAACACAGGTGGATGATTAATTCAATGAGCTGTCATAGGGGCCTATTCCATACGTATAGAATTTGTGCTACCTGTCAGCTGTGTTTTTAAGCCATGTCACTTAAAGAAAAAAGCCTGTAAAATAAAAACCTGTGTGCATTTCAGGATTAATTATCTCCCATGTAAACAATATAGACCAAATGATATCCATTTACATTATCTAAAGATGATCTAGTAAGTCATGTATTACATGTCTTATACTCTCCAGTATTTGTCATTTTCTCTAATAATATGAATAGAGGTCTCCGATTTTTCTAAGCAGTCTCCCAAGCCATCTGACTGTTAGAACAGCCAATTAGCATTCACCTCCAACATTCTGCACCAATCAATAGATTCATTTGACTGCCTGAAGCTATGGGCTTCTAGTCCTCATTCGTAATGATTCAGAAAGCACAACCCTCATAACAAGCCCCCGAGGGGGTATTGAATATGACATGATTGGTGTAGGATGGTTATAAACAAAATATGTCAGGAGCTCCCTATGCTGTAAATACTGGTGCAATTGATGTTCTGTAGGAGTGCATGGAAATCAGACATGTTTAAATCCAGAGGCAAAAAACACAGAAGTCAAGACAAGAGTTGCAGGCAGCTTGTACTCTTCTGGGGGAAAAGCCTCTCACACTAACAGAATGTGGCAAAGAACACACAGTTTGCCAACAAGAGGAGTAAAAGAGGACAGCTGGGTAGCTTGTTCCAGACACCCACAACCTTTTTTGTAGAAAAGTGCTTCCTGCTTGCAGCTCTACTGAGAATGCAGTTCCCCATAGTTTCCACTAATGTCCTGTTTCATTCTTCACAGTTGATTGGATGTTGACTAGCCCCTCTGTGGCTGTGGAAACCATCTGTCCTATTTAAAGGAGAAACTGAGAGTTCAGCGCAGTGTAGTGCAGTTTTGTAATTTGGGGGGTAGAAAACGGGGGGAAATATAAATCATTTGATTAATCTGTATTACATGTGGCAAAATTAAGTGTTAAATTGTATGTGTTAGCAAATTATACATTCAGAACATTTATTTTAAACACTTCTGTGCAATTTCTGTATACCTGCTAGTAAAAGACCTGGAGTTAAACCAGATCTGATGTATAGCTCAGATTAAACAGGATATGGATTTAACTTTTCTTGTTTGTTGCAAAGAAACAACTGCTCTTTAGTGATGGGTCCACTTTACAGGCTGAAAAAACCCTGATATTACTAACAATGACATTGAAAGCTGCTGCACTCAGCAATTATTATAAATATGCACTCAGCCACAATAAAAAAATAAGTCAAATGATTTATCATTCACACCTTAACTTTCATTAGCGTATTTGGTAACATGCTACAAACGTTGCATTTACAAGTTTCCACTTTCAGCAGCTAAAGTACTCTGGTTCTGATACTCAAATTAACTCAGTTGCTGAGAATATAGTCCCTGGCTATTCATTTTCAAACACTGTTATGTCTGTTATGTTGAAAAATGGAAATAGCAAAGATTATATTAGTTTACATTTGAGAAGCAAGAACGATTAATACGGCACAGCTTACTTTCAAAAAATTACTTTGAAAAATGGATAAGCAATTCAGATGGCATACTGGCATAGTGAGCAGATGGTATTCTTGCATCACAACTCTTGGGTCCAGGCAAAAGTCTATGTGGAGTTTGCATGTTCTCCCTCGGACTACATGGCTTTTCTCCAGGATCTATGTTAATTGGCATCTCTAACGTGTCCCCCATGTGTGTGCCTTACTGTATAACAGACTGGTGTCCCATTTAGGGTGTATCCTGCCTTTAGCCCAATATCTGCTAGGTTAGACTCCCACTCATCAATCCTGCGTATTCTATTAAGCCGCTAATGAAAAGGGATGCATAAGAAATATTTATTTTAAATACAAAGCTTTTTCATTTTTGATTTTACAAATGTAGTGTACAGTACCAGAATAGCCCTACCCCACAAGGGGAGCCTCTTGTGGGCCTATCTATCCATGATTCTTTTCTCTATATGCCTTGTTTTGTCTTCTTTCATTCATATTACCACATACAGTAGCCTCCAAACACTGGGAACGCACTACGATCTGGTTTCTTTTCTCACACAACACACTTTCCTCTTTTTCTTCCCTTCTCACACAAGCAGGACGGATGTGTACTCACCCATGCCAAAGTCCTTCCCTTGTCCTTGCCGTGGAGACAGGCCGCCCCTCCCACTCTTATTCCACAGAGCTGGGAGAATCGAGGGAGCTCAATTTCGTAAAGTCTTCAGAGGGCGGTGACTCCTAGCACACATTACTGCACACTGTTACGGTGTGAGCCTGAGCTCAGTGCCCATGACTCTTCTCACATTGCACACTCATTTGTATGTTTCCCACTCAGACAAAGAAGTAAAAGAAGAAAACAGAAAATTCTGGTTTATCTTACCAGCCCAAACTCCAGAAAAAGTGTGGAGATATAAAAAGCATCTCTTAGACCACAGAAGTCCCTGCTTATCCCTACTGTATGTTTTTGCAGAAATAAATAATGATCAAATCATTGAGAAATCAACTTATCTGGCTCTCTCTCCTTCTTAATTAAAATGTTTATTAGAACCACCTGCCCTGGGGCAACAGAGACTTCCTAATTAAACTAATTACCAGTTAATGTGAGAAATGGGTACTGTTTCTGCTGAACTAGAAGTTTTATTTAGCTTCCGAATGCCAAAAAACTGATCATCAGAAAAAAACAGATTTAATATTCAAGGCAAGGTACACAACAGACTTAAACTGATACATGTTATCTCCTATGTCATGGATATTTAGTATGAATTACCAAGGAATGGCCATAAACGTAAGTTATAACTGCTTAGAATTCTTCTGTTGCACATAAAAGCTCTAGTCTTGTAGCAGTGGGTGTATTTATTAGTTTGACATTTGCTGCACAAATTAAATAATACCACTGTAACAGAACATTCTGGAAAATTGTCAAATTGGAATTATGGGCAGTAATATTTTAATTCTTAAAAACAACTTAAATCAAAAGGAATAAAAAAAAGAAAAATCAACAAAAATGACTGTCAAACCAGAACATCAAACCACAGTTATAAGACAAGCTTGGCTCATGATTTGGAAAATGAACATTATGGCCAAGAAATAAAAGTTCTGGCCAAAAAACGGGTGTTGCAAATTGCTGCAGCTCAGTGATTGGACAGAGTAATTGCATTTTTAATCTTTAAAAAACACATCTCAGTAGCTACACATCTCACTATGAGATTGAGCACTATGCCAATCTCAGTTAAGGGCACAGTGGATGTGGAAGAGTACCTCCAGACCACTGGAGAGTGTACGGATAGCTTCCTTTTTGCAAGAGCTGCTAGTCATTGATCCTTGCTAACCACTGCCAGCATTTTTTCACATACAGTACATGTTGCAGGCAATATTTTTGTGACTATATAGGACTTTGAATTGTCCCCCAGATTAAAAAAAAAATCAGGATTTTTAAACCAGGAAAAATAATTCTCCCGGTGAGTTGTACCCACCATCACTAGCTGTCTCCCATGCCATGGTATCAGCAGCATTAGCAAGTCTTCTCTGGCCTCGCTTGTCTGGAACAGACACACTTCATTCAGCAGGTCGGACTGTCCCTCCCTGACCACCTCGGTTGTTCAGTCCCTTTTACTGCAGATTGAAAAACTAGAACATGTGCTTCATGAGCATTTTTGTGTTATCACGTGCACGAAATATCATTTTGTATATCCATTCAGCAAATTAAAGTTCTCTTCTTTACAGAACTACAGTACAGCCTGATTTAGCAAGAGATGACAGAAGAGCAGACAGGGTTCAGGCCTGATGCTTAGTGGTTTAACAGTTACTTTAAAAACACAGCAGAAGGATGTTAAAGTGCCTCGATCTGGGGAGCACACACAGTCCGAGGCAGAGCCAGAGATATTGACCATACAGTACCTGTTTTGGTTACAAAAGAAAAACAAGGCTGGTTCTTGAACCATGGAAAAGTGGAAACTCGGTTTCTCTGATTCTCGGAGTGGTGCAGTTTTGGCAGTGGCCTTGGTAAAAAGTGCTGCTGATAAGAATAGTTAAGAATGAGAGGAAGCTATCTGGCCTATCCAGCCCATTTGATAGTAACTAATTGATCCGCGGATCTGATCCAGGGTATTGGGTTTCGACAACATGATTGGGTAGCTTATCCCATAATCCAACAGCCCTTTGGGTAAAGAAGGTTCTCATTCTCAACGACGTCAACAGAATTCAAAAGCAGAAAACAAAGAGAAGGGACATAAATGAAACAAACCCTCTGTTAAGGGAACATTTATTTTCACAAGAAACACACAAACATGCAACAAGATCAAGTTTGTACTTCAATCAAGACTAGTAAAATAAGAAGCCCTTTATTGTTTGTAACAATTTCCTAAATCTTGCCTTGCAGTTTTATCTTCCATACTTTTTATTATTCCTTTATTTGTTGTAGTTTAGTCATAATTCATTATTGGAAAAGAAGGTTAAACATCTGCATGGCTTTAAATTAGCATTGGTAGGCATTTGTAGAAAATGGGCACTTTAAATGTTCAAAAGCAGAGCCGATGAAATGAAGACCTTTGCAGTGCTAATATGGAGAAACGGCAAAAATTCAGATGCTCACCTCTTCCTATGTCTGTGATGTCTTAAGAGCAAATGAAACAGAGCTAAAAACAGTGGGTTCTGGTCACAGTACCTCAAAGCAAAGTAGGAAGAAAAGCATTGCGAGCACAGTTTGTCAAAGATTTGACAGTGCACTGTCCGATTACCACAGGTCTGATCATCTTCAGACCTTACAATTACATGCAGTTTAACAAACAGAATGCTGAACCAATTCCAGGCCCAGAGACATGTTTGGAATGATGCACTGCACCGCCTTTCTGCTGAAAATCTTTAACATAGAGGACAGTGGATCCATATACTTCAGGTAGATTTGCATAGAAAGATGCCAACTGGAGTGATCAGGAAAAGTTGTGTGCTTGTGTTTGCAGAAATATGGAACCCCATGATTGCATTTTTCCACTGCTGTTTGAAATGCATGCTATTTTGGATAGACATGGTCCCATGAGAACTGCTGTGTTTTCTAGTTTTTGTTCCAGTTCAGGCTTGAATGCCTTAATTGGACAATTTACTTCTTTAGTATAAGTTAACATGTTTTCATTCTCTATGCATTGAACAATTCACACAAGTCATGCCTTAATGATTGGAAGAGACTTGTAGCATTAAGCAAACTTAAAGTAGCACTTCTGTGAATGGGACACTAGCCCATTGCAGCTTAACCTCCAAGCCAAGCAAGTATCTGATTATAAAGAGAGTGTGACTGAAGCAACTAGGTACATTGTAAAGAATATGACAGAGGTCTACCTTGCAGGCATGAACCAACAGACACCTGGTGATGGGTTCTGAGCTTTCCTCCACCATGCTTTTAGACTTAACTTTATGACCTGCAGGACTCCTTAACTTGAGAGACTGAAGAATTTCTTCATGTAAGCAGATGGATGAAAATGTTCTCTGAGAACTTTCTCACTGAAAGCACATCACAAACGTGGGAGAGGAGTTGCTAAGATGGGATTCTGTTTGCACATGGGTGATCGACATTTGAAATTGAAATAATTTTCGTTTGTGAATTACTCCAAATCTCTGAAGTGAGCCATGGTGCGGTTTGCATCATGCAACTCAGCAGAAAGCCAAGAGGAAGAGTCTTAATTGCATTACTTTCATATTTTTCTTGTTCAGTGCAGTTATGTTTTTTTATTTTTATTCTGTGAATGAGGAAAGGTTAAGTGTTTTGCACAGCTGGGCAGGGAAATGACCTCAGTGACAATGACAGTTCAAAGCATGACAGTGCAGTGTTCGAAGTTATAATTTATGATTCAAACTGGAATTATCAGCATTGCCTAAAGATAGGTGAAGAGCTTGGGTTCAAACTGAGCTTCCGATACCAGTATTTTCCATCCCTGTTGATTTTGTCATGTATGATCCCTTCCCTTCCTGCACCTACAAGTGTCCACCAGAGTGTAAGCTAAGTGTGAACTAGCATAAGAGCATCTATTGTTATGGAAAAAATTCCAACTTCAAAATTGCATTGAATGTCATAAAGGATTCAGCTGATCAGAAGCAGGGAGCACTGATGGGGACAGGTGGAGCCGCCCCTTGGTGAACTGAACCCATCACACCGCTTGTGGACTGGTCCTGCAGTGGACCAGGCTTTTAATCCCTGTCACACTCTCTACGTGCCAGCTGGCCTCCTGTCTCCAAACTTCCGCAAGCTGTTTCTGCAAAAAACAAGGGCCACAAGACACAAGACCTAGCTGCGGCTCGGGCGCCCTTGAGTCATCTTCTCATTTTCCACTGGCATTTCAATTTCTGCAAGGCAGAGAAATGGAAATCAAATGACACTGGCCATATTTTAATGCCATCAAACATGGCAGCCCTATAGTGTAAAGCAATGCAATGATTATGTTTGGCACGGGAACTTCTCAGTGGGTCAGTGTGTCAGGCATTGTATTGCAGAGATGACTGAATTACATCATTAGCTGACCGGGAGTGATACTGGCCAGAGTCACACAGCAGCACCTCAGCACTGTGGCCTACCAGATGTTCATGATCCATGTTAGACACAGGCCTTTTCATTGTTGACATTTATATTTTTGCTACCCACAAAATACCATCACAAATCTTTATTAAGTGTTTTGAATGAGGCTTTTGATACCTTCTAATTGCTTTTAAGTCTCACCAGAGGCTGAGGAGCTCTTTTTTTTTCTTATAGAGTACACTAATCATGAAATCAGAGCAACCTCAAATCCCTTAATTTAGTCACAGCAGGGCAGATGCATCTTTTTAAGTCTTTGAAAATTTAAGGGTGAGACAATTACTTAATGCTCACGCTTTCTGACAATTCTGTGTGCAGCAGAAATGTAGGAGCACCAAGCCTAGACCTCAACAAGAGCTGCATTAAGTTCTCCATCTGATGTTTAACGCTGCTCAGAAGCTGAGGGACCTGTGGTGGTGAGAAGACATGGATGTCCTGACAACCCACATTTCCAGAGATCCTGCTCCTACTATCAAGACCCTGACTAAACTTGAGTATTGTACAATCAAACCAAGCTGATGAACAATCCCTGTTCTACAACACTGAAGCATACAATAAGAAAATAATCAATGCTTCTCTAATGGTACCCATAATTGTGCCATTTAAATAATATACCATGTGCTGTATGCCTCTGACAGAGACAGGGATGAGGCAGTGAGATTCTGCCTCTACTGCTGGTTCAGAAACGTGCGCGACCAGGCTGTGCCAGCAGCCTCGCTACTCTGCAGATCTGACAGAGAGGGGAGAAACAACACATTTAGTGAACTTCCTCTGCCGCTGCAAAATGTGCGCTGGGCTCTTTAATGCCACTGTCAGGGCTGGATTTTAACTCCTCCCTACAGCACAGTGTCCCCAGTCGCCACCAGTTTGCAATGCACTGGAAATTCTCATCTAGAGCCCAACCTACTGGTCCACCAACAGCACTTACAGCAGGAATCTAGATTTCCTTGCAGGACTCCCTTCCTCATGCTGACCAGGTCAAGCCTGGCTGAGGTTCAGGGATCAGGCTACAAAGAGTTAACACTGCTACTTAAGTAGCATATCTGAGTAGCTAAGATGTACCAGACCTTTTTCCATCCATTCATTTTCTAACTGCTCCATCCAATTTAGGGAGGAAACTGGAGCACCTGGAGCACGGGGCGAACACACAAACTCGGACACACGGACAGACCCCAGGTCAGGAGCTGATCTCAAGGCCCCAGAGCTGCAAGGCAGCAATGCTCACCAGGGCAGCACCATGCTGCCATACCAGATCTTTACAATCTATTCGCTATTTTTAGAAGCAGAAGTGTGCACTTACTCTCCACTGAACAGCCATTATGGTGGTGGGTGAAAAGTGTTCTTGCTTGAAAAGACCCCAAAAAAACACAACTACAGAATGAGAAGTAAAAACTCTTTAACAAAAACATCAGATTTGAATAACGATGGGATGCTTGAAGATGAAAGCAATACAACTATCTACCGAGTATTTTATCCAATAACTGTCTTCACCTGTTAGTACTGAAAAACAGCAAACAGTGGAATCTGATCAATAGAAGTGTATGTTGGTCGTGAATTTTCTTTAAATGTACTTTACATAATAATTCCTTATTTGGATGGACGTATTCTTCCCAGCTTAAACATCGAACTTTCCAACAAAAAGAAAAGCTTTACAATACCATTAGGCTCTTTACAGATTAAAAAATGAAACAAGGACAAAGTACATGACTGCCTTTTAACTGGTGCTGTACTCTCCTACTAACAACAGCATATCTTTCTTTCAGGAAATATCTACCGATTTCAACAGTATATATAACATAATATAACAACAGTAGCAATTGCTGCATCTAAGACTACTGTATACTAGTGTAACAGACATTACAGTTGTAACACAATTTCATACATTGTAACAGTCCCTGACTTACTGACAAAGTGTTGCCAGATTTTATTTATTTTGTCATACAGAAATGTGTAAAAATATAAATCAACCTCACAGGCTTTAATTTCAGTTTAGGGGGCTAGAGGTCAACCACTCCTTAAAACGTACTGTATACCTGTATACGAATTTGTTGAAGCCAAACAGGACACTTTTAACATAATGTAAAAGGAAATTATTTAAACCTGCAAAGGATTATTAGACTTACACATCTCCCTCCACTAGCAAATGGCTAATGGAAGCTCTGCTGACTGACGAGGCTGAGGAAGACAAATGATTCAGTCAAAAATAAACGGTATTAAAAAGATATTACCAGCAAAACAGTTAACAAAGGAGTGACATGTCATGGAGTTCACCAATCCCTTCAACCTCACACGGTTTTACATAGTTCAAATCAGTCAAAGGAATAAAGATTGTGGTGGGTCTTCCCAAAAATCAAGCAAAGTTACTGCTTCCGAGATGAGGCTGAAGTACGTCCCTCCCTGGTGGGGGAAGCCTCAGCGTGCCAGACGCAGCTCACTTTGAGGATTTGGCTAGCCCAGCGCCCAGGATGATAAGGGAGCTTATTATGCTTCCAAAACAAAACTCAGCACAAAGTAAATTAAATGCACATTCCATTTTGTGCTGCACATTAATATACAGTAAGTGATAATCCCACATACATAAAACCTTGCAGTAATCACAGGCTTTCTGGGTTTGTAATAAGCTCTTTTGAATGCTACAGTTTAATAATGAAAAAAAACAACTCGTAAGAGCCTTATTCAGGGAGATGGGAATGACCATTTATTAATGCACAACACGCATGCTACGTTAAAACCAGATCACACGTTAACATCACATTTATTCATGTGAGCAATCTACGCTACGCTCGAATAAGCATACATTATGGACCGCCATCACTGATGGTGACATCAACTCACCGTCAGTAGTCTGTGAAGGATTTTAGTTTCTAAAACATTTATAAATGGTCATTTGCAATCCCTACACTAAATGGCACGCAACAGTACATTTTCACTTCCAGTTTACTCTCTGATGGGATATACAGTACGTAACCCTCAACCAGAGTGAGCTGAAACTTTGGATTTTGTCGTGCAGGCAAAGCAAGAAAGAAGGTGTTAAATCTCCACACGCTAATATATGTAGAGTACTAACTTTGCATAGGGCCAAACACTACCCAACTGGGAACACTTTGTGATTTTTGTCACGTGCAGTAAACACTGAAAGCTATCAGAATAGCCTTCTCTCCCATCACTGCACTAGTGAAGAAAATGGTATTAATCAGATTATTTATGTAATCAGCCACTGGGACCCTCATGCAAATGTTAGGATAATGTATCTATGTATATTAGGGATGCAACAATTAAGACTTTCCAAGATTAAAACTAAGAACTCCTTCCATTTCTAAAGCAAGCAATGCTGTCAGAAGAAGGGGATCACAACACCTTTTACACAATGAAAATGAGCAGTCAGTTGTAACATTATGCTTGCAGCACTTGTGCAATTATCTTATTATGAAAATATCAGAATTCCTAATTCTTAGCATAGGAAGTAAAATCAGTGGTTATATCAAGGTGAAAATGATCAACTCAGAGCCCTCAAGAAGGATTAGCGTGGCTTCATACATGCAAGACACTCCTCTCTGCTTAATCAAAGCAGGGTTATTGACATCATATCAGCGTCTGTGGCTTGCGTTTTACATCATCTAGTTTCGATCAAACTTTAAGCACAGGTCTCCAGGCCTGAGTAACAGTGCATATCTGTCAAAAACTTGATACCAGGTGTGTTGATGTCAACATCACGCCACAGTTTAAGCCACATTCCTGAAAAGGTAAACACCTGTAAAATGGCCTGAGCTCAATAAAAGGGGCATCCACTGTTTATGCAAACAACTCAGTTATACTCAGAGGGCTACTTCCAGCTGACCCTAGCAAGAAATTAAATTCCTTCTGCAGTATATTTGTGTAATACATTTGTTTGCATTAAGCAATAACTGGATTCAGCTTATCATTGCGTATAAATTAGTAATGGGATGTTTAATACAGGCATGCACAAACATGGTCTGCCTTTTCACTCTTAAATATCTATTTAAGTCATACTGAAATCTACCAATCTTACACTCGGAAAGCAGCCACCAAGGTTAATAAGAACGGAAGCGATTGTGAACTAAATGATTATGACAAACTTGCATCCCTAAAGTATACATATGCATAACATGGAAAGAGAACACAGTCCAAGCTTTCTACCACTTCTAATTTTTTAAGTCAACAATTTTTATAAAAATCTTAAAACAAAGGACATTGGTTTGGCCCTTTCTGGGTCTCAAGGCAATTTTATCCTTGTTTCTAATTTAATAAACAGTCAGCATTCTAGCAGTAGCTGACATCAATTCCTAGGAATGCCTGTGCGTAGCTTTACAAAAAGCTCATCAGGTTTACTGAACATCTGAATCTTGTAAATTCCTGTATAAACTTCCACCTATTTTCCTACAATCCTCCTGAAGCCACGATTATGCTCCACCAATATGGACTCTCTCACATAACAACTTGCAGAAACTTGAAACCCCCTAAGGGCATGATGACCTATGAACTTACAGAAACCCTCCAGCTCCACCCCCTAAGGGTATGATGACCTATCAGCTTGCAGCAACCTTGCAGACCCACACCCAAAGGGCACGATGACCTATCAGCTTGCAGCAACCTTGCAGACCCACCCCCAAAGGGCACGATGACCTATCAGCTTGCAGCAACCTTGCAGACCCACCCCCTAAGGGCACAATGACCTATCTGCTTGCAGCAACCTTGCAGACCCACCCCTTAAGGGCACAATGACCTATTAGCTTGCAGCAACCTTGCAGACCCACCCCCAAAGGGCACGATGACCTATCAGCTTGCAGCAACCTTCCAGACCCACCCCTAAACTCTTCCTAGTTGGCGGGTTTAGACCTTATTTCAATATCCATATTTGGCAAGATTATGCATGCCCAAGGCAAAGAGAGTGAAAGCAGTCAGAAATAAAAGTATTTTTTATACAAGGTGTCTGTTTATGCAATTGTTTTAGCCAGACGCTAAAAGAATATTAGAAGTTTCTCTTAAGTTCTCACTCTCATTTGCATTAAAGGTTGGGAGGGAAAAATACAATTTTCTCCTAAAACCTAATGGAGTGTGTTCTTCTCAGAAGTCAGTGGCTATGCTCAGTCCTTCAGGGCGTCCTCACACACTCCTTGAGCCGAGAGCTCTGTCAGGACATTGTCCAGGTAGTTGGGATCAGGATAGCCATGTCCTGTCAGGTTAGAGCCAAATTCTGTCTTGTGATGGATCTCGTTCCAGACCACTGTATCCGACTCCCCTGTGGTGTTGGATGTGCCGATGGTGAAGATGAGCCGGCGGTCCCATGCAATAATCAGGAGCTTCAGGACCTGAGTGGAGAGAAGGGAGAGGAACAAGGGGGTAAAAGATGACATTTTCTAAAGCAGTAGGGTTTTCCAGAGCGGCAGTAGGACGCCCGTGCGTATGCCAGCTGGGTTACGTGATGCCAACAATCCAATCTGAGGAAGATGAAACAATACAGTGCCAACCGTGCTGCATATTTTGCTATAGCTAATAGTGAAAATATGGCAACTAAAAAGTTTTACATCTTGGTTTGCTGGCAATGCAACATTAGTCACGTTGTCATGATGCTGCGGCAGTATTAGTATTTTCTTCTATGCAGAAGAAGGCAACCCTGGTCCCCCGTCTTCATCAGCTTTTACAATCAAGCATTAAAGCACAACATGGTGTGAGAAAACATGATGATCACAGTGCTAAAGGACTTATGAGCTACGAGTCCTAAGCTGAAGTACTTTAAGCACCTTATGGGTTGAGACTATCATATGAATTAACCTTTGTCATTTAATTTAGTGCTTTTACAGTAAAAAACTACATCTCATGGAGATGGGATTGAAATTAAAGAGTTAACTAGTTATTGACACATGCTGGATTTGAAAAGCATGCTCTGGGCTAAAGAGTGACCTCCTGCATTCTAAGAGGAGACTTTAACTGATGAGGCACCCTGTTGTTACTGTACTTCTAAGATCAACACCCCTGGTCATTCCTAGCAGCAGGTCCAGCTAAATTTGTGACTTACCTTTCTGCCTTTCTCGTTATCTGGCAGGTAGCAGTGTCGGGGGAAGCCCCTGGCACTGAATTTCTTTCCAGGGTTTGGGTGCTCATTAGTCTGGGGGCAGAAAAAAAATGCAGATTTCTATACATCGTTAGATCACACGTTGTTCTTTCAGCGCCATTGCCTGCACTGGATTAATCCACTCAGCCTTCGAATTTGCCCGGCATTCTGGCTCCAGCTTCAACTTCAAGCTCACAAAACATGATAAACACAAGTGGACCTGCTTTATGTCATGCCCGTTGTGCAAGCTCAAACTGTGACATAAAGCATGCATACAGATGTATTCTTTGTGAATACGATACCATCTGTGAATAACCTCAGAGTGTGGGATACAGATCAGGATCAGGATGTTCTTACAGACGTAGAATTAGTCATCAGCAGAAGTTTTGTCATCATCACTGGTTGTGCTGGTATTACTATTCATACTTCACTGTTATCCATGTACTGCATCAAATATTTTATAAACAGCATTTTAAACCTCTATTCTAAAGTGCTACCAACTTGTAAAAAAAAACTGCAAGCATGTTTGTCTCATCCTATTTTTCATTTTTCATTTTCACCCAAATCAAAATCACAGATTCTTGTTTTGCTAGTTGACTCCCAACAGTGGCTCCTCTACTGCACAGGAACAGTGAGGTTGGGTAGATGCCCGTGTGACCCATCGTTCCACAGCGCCAGACAGGAGAGTTCATGCTGAGTGGAGGATCCTGCAGCACAGTGATGTCACTGCGCGCCCGCGGGTGCCAGCGAGGTTGCTGGCACTGGTGTTTGCCAGAAAGCCAAGACCCATTAGTCTTGTTCACTATGACCACATCTATGCATAGTTGCTGTCAGGTGTGTGGCCAAGAAAATACAGTCACAGAAAGCTCATTACTTGTAATGACTGGACCATAGATCTGGTCGAGCCAATTGATAGGCCCCATGATTTTTGTGGAAGAATACGATCTTACCAAACTTAAAAGACTAGTATAACGCCACAGAGTAGTATAACATACATTAAGAAAAGGAACTGTGCCTTGTACTGTACAATACTTGCAAATTAATGCAGACAATTCTCAACAATTTTAAAACAATTATTTCTGAGGTAGAAGAAAATATTTCCTTATTCTTTTGCAAAGCAGACACAGCAGTCTATTTGCAGGCTGACATGAGTGATGTTGCTCTGTGGAAAGCTGTATCCTGTAGCTTTCAACAGGCTGTATAAAATGGCTATTTACGAGCCAGTCGGCACCTGCTAGCTTCTTTGAAATTGAACTCCATTCCGTATTCATGCAGTAAAGCCCAAACCTGCCAGTGTGACAGGAGCATTAAAGGCTGAGTTAGTGGGTCTGTTAGGTGTTTTTTGAGCATAACATTAATGATTGCAAATGACTGCAGGTTCATCTTTAATAATGCTTCTTACTTCATCTGATTATGTAGAACCAACAATTACAGATGTGTTCATTATATTCGTTATTGGGATCACTGTCAAGAAGAGAGTTTTCTTTGGTATACAGAACAGTATGTTGCGGAGGTACTATAAATACTACAGAAAATAGAAAGTGAGACAACAGTGAGAGCTTTCCCTAAAACCCTGCATTCTAGAATTTGGAAGAACAAAGGTTGTTGTTTTAATATAATTTGAAATTAAATTTAAACATTCCCCTTTTACACTGCTATGTGTAAAATCTATGAAGACATTAAATTCTAGTGCCTTTCAACCACTATCCTTTTTAGATGCTGAAGATGTTAACCATAAATAATATAAAATAATCAGTTGAATCTCTTATGAATGAGAAGGTTTTTGGCGCATTGCTTAAAAGCTAACAGAAGTAGTATATTTGTAAGACTGGCTTGTCTCAGATATAGAGGCTCAGTTAATCTTGGAGACATTTATCTCCTCCAGCACTTCATTGCTGTCACAGTCATAAAACCCTTAAAAAACTTCTCAACAACCACCTTGGGAAAACTAAAGACAGACTAAAACAGTTTCAGATCATACTGCAACTAAGGGATACTCGCTTTAGTACTATAGAGAAGACAGTAGATGGTTTTAATTTCATACTTTGACCCCAATTATTTAATTGATCTCATTATTTGCTTATGTAATGACCTTTGATTCATAAATATTTGCTAAATTTCTGAGAGCAGGACTGAAAAATGTTACCGTACATGTACAAATGATTGCACTAAATAATTAATCCACTGAAGAAGTAATGAAGTGATGTAAATGTGAAGTAAAGTAAAAAGTAATGAAAAAACACAAACATTTTTGTGTAGTGAGCTGCATGTTGATGTACCTAGCAACTCACAGCTGGCAGCCCATCGAAGCTCAGCAGGCATGAGCCTGGCCAGTACCCGGGTGGGAGACTCCTGGAAAAGCTGAGGTTACTGCTGGAAGAGGTGTTAGTGGGACCAGCAGGGGGCGCTCAGCAGGGGGTCTTTTCCTACAAAGGTATCATTCTTCCACTGCTTGCCAAAATGATAGCATCCTCAGAGCTTCTGCCAGTCTGCCAGCCGCTGCCTTTCACATTGTGTTTCCAGACAAGAGTACCATTGCAGATACAATGTTCCAACGCAAAATGACCTGATATCTCCATTTCCCTCAGTGTCAATATCCCCCATGTTGTTTCTTTTCAGGTTTAGGTCAGAATGCAGCCCACTGATGAACATGTGACAACTTTGTGTTTGAGTGGGTTTTGGATGCATCTACTCTAGTGTTCACGACAAAGTAAGTATGAGCAATAGTCCTTTCGTAAACGGCTCAAATTACAGCTGCTACGCTGCACATTCAGACATGAGTAATGGAATTCTTTATATGATAAAGGGCACCAATTTATCTTATTTAAGTGTTAAGTGCAATAAACATATTTTGTGAAACTTGACTTTTCTACAGTGGTTGAACACTTCTTCTCCCTACTGGTGTGGTAAGATGCTCTAGGGGAAATAGTTATTAACTGTGCCAATACCTGTCTAAAGTAAATGACAGAAAACAGTTTCTTCTTGTTAGCAGAGACTTCAAAAGTTCTCTGCCTGCTTTGAATCATCTCTGCTGGATAAGCATGGCATTTCAGATTCCTTAGTTTTTCTTTTAAATATAATCATTTCCAAGACAGTGCTTGCTCTCCAAAGCACAAGTGTTTTGCTGGATCCAGCCTGCTGAGTGGCTATTGCTCCCATTACCAGAGATTTGTGGACTCAAGCCAAAAATGGACAACAAGGCTACATCCTCAAAAGAGGCGCCTCACATCATTGTACCGATAGACCCCACTGTATAAATTGGTAGCTGAGAGTGACTAATATCTGCACAAGATCTGGCCCTGAAGGTGCTAAAATTCTAGCAGCATGAAGCACTTAAGCTTTTGAAGGACCCTATCTTACACTATTTACCCACCTCAATGTTTTTCTGACCTCATTTACATTGGCTCCTGAACTCCATTCCAATACATAAGCCTACTTTCATCCACTTTATTTGTTTAAAAATAGATTAGATTAACACTGCACCAGGGATTTAATTAGCAATGGTCTGGGTTATTTATGCAGACCGATTTCATACAGTACAAGTTAACAAGCACCACACTGGGAGATCTGCCTGAACAGATTGACCTCATTTCTTCAGTAGATCAAAAATGAGAGTTTACAGCAGGTAAACTTAGAACAAGGGCCACTGGCCTCATAGGCTAAGCCTAACCTTATTCCCACCACACAAACAGAAGAGCTATTAAATCACAATGTGTGTTCTATGAGATTTTAAAGGGACGCTAATCAAATTTAAGCCCATCAGCTCTGGGACTCTTCCCACATGATCAATTCAATTCCTAAGGAAAAATGCTAAAATACTATTAATCGGGAGGAAACAAAAGACGTGTTAAGATAAAACCTAAATCCTATATACTGTAACGCAACGGGGATTCAAGCAGGCACCCTTGCCGCATTAGGTCGGCCCCCCACCGCCGGGGGCTCGAACCCGGGACTCCCGCGTCACTCAACAGGGACCCAGCCCAGTGAGCCAAAGAGAGATCTCTCTACAGCCCAGTAGCTGTGGTCCTGCTATCACAGGGAAGGGCGGTGACGTCACCTGCTCTGGTACGCCGGCTCTTACACAGTGCCTGTCGGCCGTAAGCGTTACAGTACTGTATATTTTAAAAACCCTTCAGTTCCTTAATTGACATTGTTTATTAGAGCTGAAATTCCATCTTTTATTTCCCAATCTCATACTTTCCTGAAAACCTGAAAACTGAGTTGAAGAGGCAGGACTAGAGAAAAGTATTTACAGAAGAAACATTAAATCACTCAGTTTGCTTCTTAGATGGTTGTACTTAGCAACATTTCACCACTACCATATGTGACTATACCCCTTTTCTATAGTTAAACACCCTTTACTCATAGTCCAAGCCTGGTTTATTCCAGTGTTGATGGTGCTACAACGTCAATGGAAATGGATGACAGGTGAAGAGTCTAGCCTAGATTCTGTATCTGGCCTACTTCATTGACTGGGCGTGTGCACATCTGTCAGCTTCAGCTATGATTAATGTCCCTGAAAATGTACAGCCACACCAGGTGTGCAGCCAGCCCTTGGGAATTCCTGTCTTCCGACTAAGGGGTTCCATCTCAGGAGGTGCGTTGCGACTCAGTTTATCAAGCTCAACTGCTGAAATTGTGCAGCATCGACACCCATAAATGTGACACAGCACCAAGCATAGATGGAGCAGGCAGCAGAAAGCATTGCTGCTATCTGTGAGCTTGGCATTGCTCACCACGCAGGATGCACACAGAATACTGATAATTTCCCCACAAACACATCGCTAATGTGTTAGTGTGGGAACTTTGGGACTGCTGTGCAAGCCCAATTCAAAACATCAGGGGTGTGTAAACAATTATCCTTAAGTAGCCTCTTGAAAGGCTCAACCAGTTGAGGTGCTCACCCGAGGGGAGGCGGAGCTCTGTGATGCAGGCGCCACAGGTCTGAGCCGGAGTCAGCGTCACTCTGTGAGTCGCTGGGGCTTCCCAAGTGGCTGAGCACCTCTCTGAGTGGGCCAGGATGAGCTGGCAGGACTTTCTCTGCTCTAGTTATCCCTCGCAGGCTTGCAGCGTTGTCAATGAGGGCCACGCCTCTCCTGCAAGGGGGGCTAAACCACCGTGCCCTTGCTGTCCAGCCCATGATGTGGTAAAAGTGGAATGGCTGAGAGGTGGGTGGGGAGGGCGAGTCTGTCTGCACTTCCTCATTATTCCCCCTGTAAGAGCATGCGACGCGTAGCTGCAAGCTGAGGCCATGGGGGACTGGGGTTCAAATCGGACAGAAATGTAAGCCAAAATATTTGATGATTTTTAGTATCATATTCTAAATTTAAAAACAAAATTGGAATTTCCAAGACATCTGGACAAACTGTGCACAAAATTCAAATCTATCCTCACTCGTTGAGCTGTTTTGTATAATATGTCGTCAGTCATTGCTAAGTTAAATAACTCATTCATACTGCATCATATACAACCATTTTCTACTTTCTTCATTATTCCGCTATTCTCCTCCTATGTGGTTTTCCAATACCTTAGCTTTGTTTGCTCTTTGTAATGAAATCTACAGATTCCAACTGGAAACTGCTTTTGAAAGAGCTCCTTGGAGAGAACTCCTTTGCTCTAGAATGTTCAGAGCACTATAAACAGGTCTCCTTTTATGCAACCATAACAATAGACATTTCAATGTGTGTGATGCCAATTTATCTTCCCCACACTTGTATTGGCAATTCTATTCAGGAATTTGTCTTAGAAGCTATTTCTGTCTGAAATGCAAGAACAAAGAAACAACAGAGATACTGCATACTGGCCATACCGTATTTCACAGTGTTATATGATGTGAAAGAATACAGTTCCTAAATAACTACGCACTGCATAAAAAGTTACTATTTCTCCAAGTGTATGGAACCGGTTAATCAGACTGATGGATACATTTCACATCTAAAAATGGAAAAGATGCATTTGTACACCAACATGGGGTTCAGGGGTCAGCACTGCGAGGCTCAGATACTAAGATCTGCATCTAAACTACATGTTAAACCTGTTTTAAAGTTTTAAAATATCTAATTTCATTATGTTAGGAACGGTGAAGAAATTCCTGGCTTCTTAGATTCCCTAAAATATAGAGATTATTACAACTCTAGAATACAAAATAAAAGTGAATAAAATGGAACATTTGATAAGAGGATTTTTTTCCCTAGCTCTAGATTACTCTTAGAAAGAACAGAAAGTCGCTTCAGCTCTTTACAGTAATTACTTTGCTTTCAAAATGTAAAAGTAGTCTGATGCAGCTGAATACATTTTCTTTGAATCACTACCAACCTGTTGACTACAGGGATGGTGTTGACTGAGTGATGCACTATGTTGGGTTTGTGTCAGATGCGATGGTTTGCATTTAGACCAGAAGATTTCTGTTTGGTCTCATCTGACCACTTCACCTTTTGCCACATTTTTACAGTATCACCTACTGGAAATGTTTTGTTGCAAATTCCATGCAGAGCATGAGATGGGTCTCAAATGAACGTGTTCATCTTGGTTCATGCCTTCTCAAGAAGAGGAACTCAAGAGGAAGAACCAAAAAGTAAACTCCAAAGGCTGGAACCAAGGTCAAACATTCATAGCTCTTTCGTGTTTTCATAATTACTGCAACACCTGAGCAATTAGAAACACTTGGCAGTCATTTGTTCGAATACATCTGCTAACCTGAAACTGAAATTTAGCACAACAAAGGACATGGCTAAATGGTTCATGGTCCTAACATGGCTAAACATCTATGCAAAATAATACCCAGAAACATAAACTGAAATTGTATACCTTTGCCTCTTATTATCTTTTTTATTTGAAATATAAATTTCCTTAGCATACAGCAAAAATGACAAATTTCACTTAACACATCCTTTTCATTGTATTAATTTCTACTTCAAAGTGTCAGAACTGCACACAACAAAACAAAAAAGGAGCATACAATGGTCTGAATACTTTTTGAAGGAACAATATAGATATATCAATAATTGACTACTTATAGTACATCCATAGAGGACGTACATACAGTATAATTAGAAAATATATAACTGGCATAATTTAGCCCAATGCTGGGAAGATACAGAAAAGCTGCTCACTGTTACTTATCAGACCATTCAGATGACAACCCATTACATACTGCCCTCAAGTAGTGTTAACAGAAATAACCTTCCCAGAAAACGCAATGGTCTGCCACACATAGGAATGACGCTGAAGGGACTTAGCTTAGATGGATGCGTTTGAATGCGGGGAGACTCACCTGGATCCCAGCAGGAATGTCATACACGATGCGGATGGTCTTGGATTCAGGGTAGCCGGGCAGGCAGTGAGGGATCACGTGGTACTCCATCTTCCCAGGGGGCTGTGTCCCTGTCTTCTCCCCATAGATGGCCTTGCACGTGGGGCACTGCAGGCTGCCGTCCTGGGAGCACAAGCACACCGCCCTGGCCAGTTAAGACGTCATACTGTTCTGCAATGCTTCATTCTTTCCATTTTACATTCTCCCAGATGTGGGGTCACCAATCATTCATCGATTTAGTTTGCGCCAATGTGGGAGAGGTGCCAGCTACACAAACAGCCTGTAAATCATGCACTGTCATCAAAGTCTGATACTTTCTGCACAGCAAGCAAAGGCACAAACAGCAGAGTTTGGACAGAGAATTGATTAAGTTTTAGTTTTTAAACTGCTTTACTTTAAGTGATAAGTCACAGTTGGGTCCAGTTTTGGACCCACTAAACCCTGGAGGTATGGGCCACTGAGGAACCTCAACAAGTCATGGCCAAGCTACTGTATCAGAACATCCTCAAGCAGAGCTCACAAGGACTCCGTGAGAAAAGTCACAGCAAACGGATGTATAAGAAATCTTCTGAGAGGCTTTACAAAAAGCATTGACTTTAGAAACACTGAAAGAGACTAATAGAAAATTCCCTGGCCCCTTCTGAAAGAAATAACCACGGCAATGCAGACGCAGCGCCACACCCCTGGCACATGTAACCATGGGTGTCACGGATTCGCTCAGAAGGGCTCTTACCTTGTTGCCATTGTTGTACATGGCCACCAGGCAGAGTAGGTGGTACATGTGCCCACACTTGCCCAGCTTGCCCACCAGCTCCGGCTTGACCCCCTTGTGACTCAGCACGCCCTCGTAGCCAGAAGAGGTGACTAGTCTCTCCATGCAGATTGTGCAGTCCTGGCAGGGAGGAACCAAAGACAAACGGGCACATTGGCACTCCGTCTCACTGCCTGCTGCTGCATCAGCTCAGACCACACTTTACAACACTGTGCATCATCGTTTATTCATAATAAAATTCCTATCTTTCCCAGAAAAAAAATTATCACTTGTGCCTCTTAAGTACCTTTGCCCAAAGACCTTATCTACAACCTCTCACCACCCTGCTGTGCTTCCTTCAGCATGCTTTTAATCTTCTCCACCTCCCACCCTTCCAAAAACATGGAAGTCAAGGACAATGCCCTCCTGGAAAGCATGGGCCTTTTAAAATCTTGAAGTATCTTGGAAACTACACAAACTACAGACCTGGGTGGGGTCTTGAATCAAAAAGAAACCTCTTTGACATCCTGTCTGAACCTTCAGATGTTTTATATGTGTTTCTCAGTACACACTTTAGAAAGAAATATCCAGAACAAAATCAGGAAAAAAACACAGATGCATTTTATTGTCTTTCTTCAATGGTCAATTTGGTCAAGTTGTGATACACTTAGGATGTAAATGTCTTTATCCAGGTTTTCTATAAAAGGTATGCTATCATTTAAAAAAAGTTTGAAAGTGATTGAACAAGTATAAAAAATATGTTTTATGAAGACAGCACATTAATCGGGTTTCTCAGCTTTCCAAAAAATAACTTTTCATGCTTCTCTAAACTGAAATGTGAGATGAATATACTGTAACTATCAAAAAAGGCTAATTTGCTTTATTTTGTGATGTACAGTATGTGATTTTGTGTTTTGATTTCAAAGGTAAAAATACATATTATTTAACAGCTGTGCAGCTTTTATCTGAAGTGCTATTGTCAGCATTACACTATTAAGTTGTTTATTACAACATAGTTTCACTGCAGTGAAAACATAATGGCTGTGTTTGGAGAATATTGGAGACCAATTGTATTTGTAATATTTTGTTTTTGGTTAAAAAAAAAGTGTAGCATTGAAAGCAAATACACACGCTTAGGCGGATATGCCAGGCTGGGGGAGGATATTGAAGGGATGGCTTTCCAGCTCACTATTTGCACAGTTGCACTAATTCATCCCATTTCTGTTGCCACTGGGCCCCTATCCCTGCAAAGCACATGGGCCACTAGAGAACAATATGGGCTTTTTTTAAGACCATTTGTGCCGTTTCAAAACGACAAGGGAAATCTTACAAGATTGCAAATGGCCACAGTAGGATTATTTCAATGATAGCAGGAAATCTGAGACAGCCTTGATGACACATTATTTACTACGCCTGTGTGACTGTCTACATCAGGCTCTGTAGATCTGGAAGACCAAAATACAGACAAATTCCTGTCCCTGCCCCTCTTTGAGCTGGGTGATTTTTCTTCACAGTGATATGGCAAGATGGAGATTACAGTTCCAGGATGGAAGGTGTTAAAAGAGCAGTGGATTCTGCTGAAATGGTTTGAGCGGAATCATACTGTAAACCTCTCAACACTGACCAGTCAAGCTGGGCCCTGACCAGTCCTGACCAGGAAAGCAGTTGTGAAAAGCAGGGCGAAGTGCAAACTGAGTGGGTTTCAGCACCCTGGATGATACGAATGGAGAGTTGAAGGACAAAAGGAAATAAGTAGCTTGCTAGGGTATCACCTTCACTATTATCTGTGATAAAGGATTGGATATGGCCTTATTCGTCAGGACTACACAAAAGTGGGTCTTTTAGTCACAGTGAATAAACTCAGTCCCAGTAAAATCCCCACAACCTCCATGATGAGGCTAGTATGCAGTTTGTGTTGAGTTTTACACCCTAGGAATAAATATGCATAAATACTTTAACTAGCATATCGACGACATAGAAAATAAGACATAGAAATAGAAGCCCATTAGAAAAACACACAGGAGAAATTCCAGGCTTCCTGTAATGGGACACTGTATGACAAAATTCCACATTGTTTGCCAAATAATGCTGTGCAAACTGCTAACCACATCATGTCTGCCCTCACATGACAGCAGATGTTTGCCAGGAGACCATCTTTTCTTTTGCAATAGTTGGGTAAAAGCTCTGAAGGCTCGTAGTGGATGCCGATAAAGTGTTTCATGGTGAGCACAAATCAAAAAGTCCTAAAGCAGATTTAATTAGAACAGGACCTCCTTGATAAAAGAAAGTGAAGATGCAGTATCCAGGACTTGAATCAGGAGCCATTTGGAAAGAAATGCATCAGGCTTTTTGCTGGATTCTCCAGAAACCTACAGTATGCTTGTGAAACTAAGGGTGTCCGTACAATCTTGGTGGATTTTTCATACTCATTACATACTCAGTTTTTATGCACTATGACCTGTGTACTATGGCTTAAATATAGCAACATGATTATCATCAGTTTTGAGGCAATATATGCATTTTGTGTTTTTCTTTCTTGGAATAATTGGAAAATGTCATTTAATATCAATCAGTTCCAGATCGATGATTACTGGGCCAGATGACTTTTATACCACGCACAGTACATGAAAGTGAGTTACTGATTCAGAACTGATTATCGCATCAGACGTACTGTAACATTCCTGCTATGTTTTTCACATACAATAAGGCACGTTGGGATGCTCTATGCTAAGACCAGTGGTATAAGAGTATGTTGTTATGCAGTATTGCAAACATCAAGTACATCTTTCAGGAAAAAAAAACAGCTATGGAGATCTGTCCCTTACCTCATCGGGGACAACTTTGACTTTTTCGGTGTATCTCCGCACTACGTCCTCTGGGTTCTTTCCTGCAAGAAAAAGGACACGAACATATGAGAGGTGCCCTCTGGCAACATTTTTAGAATAGAATCAGCAGTTATTTTCTTTTCCAAGAGCTTCCAGTTTGGAAATGCAGAGTAGAGTGGTGCTGCTGGCACATTCTGGAGGGGCTGCTGCTCACCATCCAGTTTCAGGGGTACTGTTTCTCAGGTTGGTCGCCTCCTGTTTGCAAAGATCTTTGAGATCCTTTGCAGTGAAAAGTGCTGCATGCAGTAAATGCAAAGAATGAACTAGTCGCTGCTACTGTACGACTCTCCTACCATCACAGCAGAGGTCATAGTGAAACATACGTGCGCCCCCACATCTCCACAAGCCAGCATGGCGAGCCCATCTGCTTATCTATCTATGCTGTAGGATTGCAGGACATGGCAGCGCAGCTCTCGCGGAACACTGCAGGCTAAAAGGAACCCCAAGACATAACAGCAGTGGCTGTTCCGATCAGACAACCATGAATGATCGCTATCAATGACAGTAAATTATCAGTATCAGCCATTAACATGGAATAGCCTATTAAAGTAGCCCGGATGGGAAATTGGGAAGCAGTAATCTCTGGATTAAAGGACCAAGTCTGTTCTCCAAGACAGCTTTTGTGGATGAACTTTGGAGCCCCTGTTTGAAAGTGCTGTTGGCTTTCTTCAAACACGTTAATGTTTGAAGGAACTTTAATGCAATGAAGGAGTATAACTTTAAACAACATAACATCTCTTGCTAACACCTTTGTATTCTGCAATGTACCTTTGTGTAATTCATACTGAAATACACTAAAAGAGGAACACCATTGCAGGTGCTGGATAATAATAATTTCACCAGATCACTTTAAAATGCATCATCTCAAAGTCGTTGTAAAAACAAAATGCAGAATGATAAAACCAATGAAGTGTAGCCTGATTTTTATAGAGCAATACTATCAAAAACTCCTATAAAATAAGCTGGAGCTTTGGAATGGATCAGGTTTTTAAAGGTTTTTAAAGTCAAGGGATCTGTGCTGTCAGCCGCTGGGTATTTTGTCGGTGTCAGTGAGTCAGAGGGAAGGTTGTGAAAAGTGGGCACCATTTCCAAACTCGGTGAAGTGTGAATGGACATGCTGAGGAAAGGGAAAAAACAAAGCTGTAGAGTATAAAAGACTATCTGGCAGGACATCTGTTCACATCTGTGCCACCTCAACCTGTTTAGTCCAGCAGGGGAGAATTTGTCTTTGCCTTTAATTTGATCATTACAGAGCAAACAGCACAAAACATAACAATCTTCCCCTCAGATTTCTAATCACCAGAAAGATCAGATTCATCTCAGATAGACATTGTAAAACAAATATCTCAACTGAACCAACAGACTTTCTGCTTTTATCTGCTCCATGACTAATTGTCTATTATACCTACAGTACTGTATGTTGTACATATTTCTGTTACAACGGGGTGGTTTAATAAGCAAAGAGCGATTGACTTTCACAGCACTGGCAACTCATGCAGAGGAGATGTTTTATCTCATTGCTCCAACCAGTTGACCCTTTTTTCTTATCAGCACCTGCAATTAACTCCCAAGTGCAATGGCGCTGATGACATCCAGACACTGTGTCTGACCTTCCATAGCTTCACACACACATCAGGGGAAAAGGTACACTTGTTCAGCTAGAATTGTTCAGCTTTCAGAGGCCTTCACAGTTTATCAACTATAGGTAAACTTCCTTTAACCACAAGACTTCCTTCTTCTGTTATTTTTGCACACTTCTGAAAATATGCTTTGCAGTATTCTAGACATTATAGTATACAGTGTATAACAGCGGTTTGTATTCAACCTGTAAAACTACGCAGAGAAATGAGCAAGCATTATGTAATTCATTATGCACTTAATTGTCCTTGAGGGCTACCATTAAGGGGTTTGTGATTTTTTTTATATAAAGCAACTGAACAGCTGCTCTCTCGTTAGATAGTAAGTTAAATGGTATATCAAAAATAATCTCCGGGTCACTGGGGTCCTTCACTGCAGAGCTTTAGAACAATGCACAGACAGCAGATGATGTTGTCTAAGCTTAAAGTTGTAATAAGATTACAGAAGAGGTTTTTCAGAGCAGTGCTTTGAATTATGCATGATTCCTCCGTGTTTTATAGCTTCATCTGCAGGACCCAGGGGCTCTCAGTCCCACTTTTAAATAATAATCCTCTTTTCAGCATTAGCCTGAAGTCACGCAGGAAGGTGCAGATATTTTGTCACAGGTCAGTCATTTTGTTCTTTTTTAGCAAATTTAACACAATTCTAGATTTTTCAAACCACAATAACCCCCCTCCCCTCCCTCCACTGCTCTCCCTTCCTTCTGAGACTACCAGAGGACTGTGACACCCCAAGGGCACACATGCACTTTGGTAAACGTGGTTAGGATTTGTGGGAACTTATTGTCCCAGATATTGTTCCAGGAATGTTTTTCAATCCAGATCTCCTTCTAGACAAACGTATTAATGTGCCTTCCTTCATGCCAGCTGGGCATGGCGGAGCATCCCAGGTTTCTGAGGAATGAGGATTGCCTCAGGACTGCAATGAGGCTCAGGAATCAGCTATGAATGAAGAGCGTTCAGGGTGCTTGTGGCTGGGAGGCACTCTTTGGCAGTCTTTCAGGCAGCGGATAAGTGCATACCCTCTTTCTCATTGCTGTGTAGTTCTGAAATTGCCTTTCTTGCTCCTTAGGAATTGAATAGCCTGTCACTTCACCATGAAAAATAAATAAGAAGCAAGCAGAGGTGAAGTCCACACTGAAAGGCAGAAAGGAAAAAAGTCTAAATGTTACACATTTTCTTCTTTCTGCTTTTCATCTGGGGATTCACCTCTGTTTATGTGAGTTTAGCTCGCATACTGACCCAATAAAACACATAGGACACTCCCAATCTGCATTCTGCCCACAAACACTGCCAATCAGGAATCTTTCTTTTGTGCAGGACAGCACAGAAAATATTCTTCAAAAGATCTGCAGTCATTTACAGTGCATGAACCCCTTTAAGTCTAGTTTAAATCTAATTTAGAGCTGCCTTTTACAGGCATTTTATAGGAATATCATTATCTAGCATGAGTGCAATTCATTTGAACTTCACTGTACTGAAATGCTCCTTTCTCGCTGACTAACACTGTCAACTTTGTAACAAGTACTAAAACAGAGTCATCATCCTTAATTCTCTGGGGGATCTTGAGTTATAAACACATTTTTTTTAATGGACTTGAAAAAGGAGTAGGGGAGTGCTGAATACAAATAACCTTTAATGGTCTCATTCAGTTGGGGTATCACAATACAAAGCAGGCTCCAGTTTGAAATTGAATTATCAGGATGTTGTGCACCTAGCAGCTCCTGATTGCTTTTATTTCAAAGCAGGTTAAAATCTCTCAAATTGCCTAACAGCAACCTGATGCATTCTGCCTTGATCTACAGTAGTTTAACCCAAAGCTCTGAAATCCCAGCACAAATACGCTGCTTTTATGATGGAAACTAGGCAGAACATTTGCCGATCTCCCATATAGAACACAGAGGAGCATTCAGATACGACACAAGTGTTACCCACAACCAAACAGTTTCAAAGTTTTTGCCTCTGGAAGCCTCAACGAGATGTTAAATAAATGAAGGTCTCTCTCTCAGTCAGATAAACACAATGGCCAGATCCATAACAGTGATCCCCAGATACAAGACATCAAGCAATTTTACTGGTGGCTCTACTCCACTGATACAAAACGACATCATGTTACTACACAGCAGCCGAGCCCAGATCCCGGACTCCCACGCGACACGCAGGGCATCCCCAAGCCCCGAGCGAGGGGGAGCACGCCGCCGTCCAGCCATCACCTGCCGCCCTCACCTCTTTTCAGGTGCTTCTTCTTGGTCTTGCGTCGGATGCCGTTCACCCCCGGGACGGGCTTCATGTCGCTCTTGTTGATGGGCGGCGGGTGCAGGATGGGCTTGGGCGCCCTGGTCAGACACACCGGGAGCCCCGCGGCACACATCAGGATCCCGGTCATGCCTGTCCACGGACACAAAGGGGTCAGGCTGGCGAGGAACGGCACACGGAGGGGCAGTGCAAGCCGGCCGGAAGAGGTTTCTTAAAGGAGAAACACTCCGTTACAGGGATTTTACTGAACTGCTGATGGGATGCCTGTCCACGGAAAGATGAACAAAAACGAGCCACATAACTACAGACCAATAAGTCTTTCTTCTATAATGTGTCAGGTTTTGGAAATGAGAATTGCAACTAAAATAGGGGTACAATATATGGTAAAGCCAGGTAAAGAAAAAGCCGACATAGTTCTAGAAAAAAAGAGCTTGTCTAGGTTGCACAGAAGTTAGCATTGCTACTTCACAGCTCTGTGCTCAGGGCTTGGAACAGGGACCCAGGGACATAGTGTGCTGTCTGTGTGGAGTTTGCATGTTCTCCCTGTGTTTGCATGGGTTTCCTCCAGGTGTTCTGGTTGCCTCCTGCAGTCCAAAGACATGCTGATAGGCTTCTATCACAACTGTCCCTGGTGTGAGAGTGTGCGGGTTTGTGCTTGTGTACAGTATGTGTGTGCCCTGCAATGGACTGGAGTCCCCACAGGGTGTATCTTGCCTTGCACCTGTTGCTTGCCAAGATAGGCTCCAGGTCCCCTGTAGCCCTATACTGGATGCACCAGTTAGAAAATGGATGGATGGAAATTTTGACTAACATATTACAGCTTTTTGAACAAGCACCAACAGGAAAGAAAAACACATAAACCATACAACACTGTATGTTTTCAGAAAGCTTTTAATAAATCTCCTCCTAAAAATGTAATTGTCAAATTGCAAGCAGTAGACATTTAAACTAATGTAATTTGTGAAATACCACGGGGATCTGTATGAGGATCACAGGTTTTCCAAATTGACATTAGTGATTCTAGATTATTGTGTAATTAGTAAACTAGTGGCATTTGGTGATTATGCCAAACCAAAAGGTTTGCAGTCACTGCAGATACAATTGAAGAAGTAACAAGCTGGCAGATGAGGTTTAATGCACAAGAATGCTGGAGTATTACATGCAGACAGAAAACAAACTGAAGACGCTGAAGATATTTATGAAAAACTATGTGTAATTTGACACATTTAAAATCTCCTTCACCGTGTAGGGAAGCAACAAATTAATCAAAAAGGATGTTAGGATTTGCAGTTATAAGGACACATCAATGGATGTTCTGTTAAAACTGTACAATATAAGGTACTAGTAAGATGATATTGGTCAACAAACTACATATGCTGTTGAAGCTGATACCCTGTTTTTTCCCCAAGTATAGGAACAATTAGTTGCAAGCAGCAGTAGATGGGCTGAACGACGCTCTGACTTTTGGCAGAATATTTAATGAGCTACATGTGGAAGTGTTTCTGCACCATCTGTAAGTCCATTGCGCGACAACAGTTTAGAGAAGTCAGAAGCTCTTTAGGTCTAGGACGCTGGTAGGTGTGCATTGGTGTGTTTTCACTCCTACCTGCCAGTGCAGGGTGAACTGGCCCAGAGCCAGTTAGGTTCTTCACTGGGAGGGCAGGAACCCTGTGAGCAGAGAGAGGAGTCAGCCATTATTATACTGAACAGTCTCCCAGGAAATGCTATATGCATTAGAACACCACACCGAACCCTTCCAAAAATCCCTTTGCCAATATATGTCAACAGATGGTTACTGAAATGAAAAGGCTGGTTTATTTCAATGTGATATGTATTAAAAAAAAACAAGTGTAAACACGGTCACAGCATTAGAAGGAAAAAAAACCAACAACATTTCTATACAAAGCAACAAGATTGTCTCTCCCTGTTCCACAGAGGCAACTGGAGTGGTGAGAGCTCTGGACTCAGGTCCCAGGTGAAGACTTTGAGGAAGTACTTCTGATCTAGGTATGTCACCTATTTTCAGCATGATACCCAATTGTATAAATGGGTACAAATAGAAGCTGCTTTGAATAAGCTGTACAGATAAATCAATATAAACACAATTCAAGAAAAAATAAAACACAAGAATGTTAAATGCAGATTGCTCTTGTATAAAAAAACTGTTTTAAGTTTGTGATTGTATATTTTGATCTTTCCAGAGGCCATTGTGCTAGCACCCAGACCTGTGCAGTTAACAAAACAAAGAGGCCAAGCTTTGAGCATTGAGAGTAAAAGGAAAAAACATTCAGCATTTTTTTATTAGCAAACCAAAAGCCACACGCTTTTGCTCAGAAGGCCACTTCACTGCTGTGTGTCATCTTTACTCGGTCTTTTGTGTGTATTACACAATGCCACCCACACACTACAGTGTGATAGAAATGTCAGCTGTCTGAGAATGAAGGGCAAGGTTGAAGGGATGGCAAACAGTCTGTTGGTTTCAGCTGAGAAGTGCTGTCTTCTGGGATTCAGGCACTGTTGACATCTGCATTCATGAGCAAACAAGAGTGAACTGTGCTGGTAGTAAATCAGAAATAGTGCTTTTTAAAAGGCAGGCTAATGTTAGGCCATCAACTTGAAAATTCTGCACACTCAATTATAGGTATAATTGCTGCACAAATTGGAAGCACAGTCTGTATGAAATGCAAACATGTGCTTCCCTGAAAAGGCAAAACCTAATTTCATAAGAAAAAAAAATCCTGTTCTGTATTTTAGGCCAGCATACTGTTTAAATGACATGAAACAATAATGTGATAAAAAACTTTTTGATATTTGAGAGGCCTACAGTCAGTCAGAATAATGTGTTACAATGTATTGTAACTCATGCATTTGCAAGAGGAAAGATTTTTCTGCAGACACACTTTTCATTATTTACCGCAGAATGAAGGCAGATGTCTGGTTCGGATACAGAGTGGGACATGATGAATGACCTGACAAGCTAAGGAACTTGAAGCAGCTCAGACCTGTGTTGTGAATAAAGTGCTATCGTTTTCAGAACCTGGAAAATTTAAACATAGTAAAAGACCAAATTAAAGTGAATACTTCACACGTTCAGCTTCAGTAACACATCTTTCCAGGCGAGGTAGAATTTTTCCACTTGCGGTTTAACAGTCTGATCCAGCTGATACTCCTACCTCAGATATATTGACATTTAAAAAACACAGTTTAAAAATTGGGAAGTGATTTCAAATGATCCAGAAAAAAAGAGCTGGCACCATGGGCACAAAGGTCAAAGGTTTAAATTTTGCAAATCAAAGCTGGCCAAATCATAAGCCTTTCAAGCAATAGAAATGAATAAAACCTACACGAATGACAATGGCAAGAGCAATCACTCCGAACTCTGAATTAAATTTCCCAGACTCTCAGCAAAACAAGAATTTGGAGGCAGTGTCAACGGAGAGATTTCGTGCTCTTCGCTTGCATATGAGGATGGAAGAGGGAAATGAAGAACTGAAAAACCGAGTCACCTGGAAAAAGACAAAATTGTTTTTTTCCTCACACCCATGTTTCCATATTTTTGCTGCTGCTGCTAATCAAATACAAAACAGTGTTTAATTAAAGCAGTAATTGCCACTTCACTGCCAAGCAGGAACAACCTGAGACTGTCAACATGCCGACTCTCCCCACTGAGTGATTTCCAGCCCCTCTCAGCCAATTGAATCCAAATAATTGAACAATTGCTTTGTTAACAACCGGGATAAAAACACTGAATAATACAACATAATCATTAACAAAACAAAACGTCTTTAGACTCCTGGAATTTGGGGCATACAAATGATCAGGCATACATACTGTAGAGCAGGGCCTGTGGAAAACATCCTGAGAATGAGAACAGTGTACCGATGAAACAGCAAGGTGACCTTAAAACGGCCCTGGCTTTTTACCCCTTCTTAATGTCACCCAGCAGTGCGCCTGTAGGGATTTCACTTCCAAGAATGTGTTAACCCATATGGTACTGTACTGTACATGTCTCACCTCCATCCACTGGCCCAGCAGCAGGGTGTTTGGCTTTAACATTTCTGTGCCCATCTAGCACACTGACTACACATATCACAGAGCTATGCATTAAACGGATTTCTCTAACTGTGTGCCATGGTGTGGATGCACCAGGTTTTGATGATAATGTATATGATAAGGTTGTTGCTTTTTAATGTTGTCCATAAAAGGGGGCAGCAAATGTACTCTTATACATTAGAGAGCTACTGTAGGCCGAGCATGTGCGCGTTTGCAGACTTGGCAGAGTCGGCATAGATAACACAGAGCTTTGCAAGTCTTTCACCATTACAGACCAAGCTGCTGATTCAATTAAGTGCTCCTAGCCTCTGTGACATAGCCCCACACGAGCACTGCCCAGAATGGTATTAATCTGGCCATTACAGCATTAATCGGGTGTTTGACTCACTTATCTATTTTTCCAGTCTCGTTCTCTGAAGAGCAGCAAAGGCAGACAGTTTTGAGAAGACAGCAGGTGAGCTAGGCCTGTTAAACAATACTACTGTTTACATCAAATAAAAGCTTAAGAGAGGGAAACAATTTGAGATTTGAAATGTCTAGTAACATGCATGGCAGTGTTTTCACCCTTTGCGATGTGTTCTGGCATTCAACTCATTGCAGCAAAACAAATGCACACAGAAGTTAAAGTGTATAAGGCAAAATACCAGGCACAAAACACAGCAGTCACAAACACTGCCAGATCTGATAGCACGGTGTTCTGCACTGTGCAGGGGCATACGCAGATGCTTGTGGAGAAAGCTAATATTCGCACCAGGAGAGCAGATCTGGTGTTGGAAAACAAGGTCAGTGCTTGACAAGAGCTTTCCTTGGGGATTTATTTTCCACGAACAAGTATTGCACATGTGTTCATTCACCTGTACCAGCTGGTGAAACTCCACTACACACCACTGTGTGCGATATTGTGGTGCCTGGAATGCACTGGATGAAAATACAGTGTGAATTGACAGTAAAGCCATTTTATCATGGAAAATGGAATGACACATTGTTCAGAAGGAACGCCAATACAAATGCAACAATGCATTTCAGCACAATTTCAACACCTGGTACATTTAAGTAAAACTACTTTTACAAAAGTAGAGAAGTGGGCCTTGGTAAACTCACTGCCATAACGGAGTGGATCATGAAGGCAACATCACAGCACTGCCTCTCCAAAGGGAGATAACCTGCTTGTCCTTCTGTGACTGTCTTAGCGCTGATTAAGGTCTCACATGCTTCAGATCAACCTGATGAATGAATCACTCAACAGGCTACGTGCTGTGTTGCACAGTGGCCCATAAGAAGGAAGTCAACAGGTAACACTGTTAAGAGCTCTCCAGCCTCCAGCCTGATTCATGAGGGAGCAGGACTTTGTTCTGTTGTTTGCTAGTCACTGCCAGGGAGAAAGAATACTGAAGACAAAATAACAAGAAATGTCAATGAAGAGTCACGGAGACTAGTAACATTTAAATGTTACATTAAAAACATAATTCACTGCATACGATCTACTGCTATAGGCATTTTTTCTGTAAAGTATACAGTAAGATATACTGTATGAACTTTTCAAAGCTTTGCTTTAGTCAGAGGGTGTGAATCTGCACTCTATGACATACTATAAATTGACACACTTCCCTTGAATGTGCAATTAGCGCTCACTACATCTTCAACAGATGTAAATGTATCAAAACCTTTTTTCTCTTTCTATGGTGATGGGATTCGGTTTTATCATTTTTAAACTTTTCTTTTTACATATGTCATAGCTTGCTTACTAAACTCTCAATACATTTCTGTATGCTTGTCTCATTCAACAATTGGAGAAGGAAACTGTGCAGCTATTTCATATATTAGTTAGTAAAGCAGAGGACTGAAATGTGAATTAAATGGGTTCTGGGAAACGCAATCAGTGTGACCTGTAACCACAGGAATCGATGAGGCAGAACTGTCAGTGACTGTGATGTACAGTAAATAACAGCCGACCATGTTTAATAATTTGCAGTTTTAGTGTTTTTAAATGGGAAACAGAACTGGCTGAAGTCAAGCTTACAGATGCGTCTTGTGATTAAGAATAAAAACTGAGAATGTTCATGCTACATGTTCTCATATGCATTCATAATCCAGAACAGAGCTTCATCATTTGAAAAATCTCTCAAGAATTCTAATTCTACTGAGGAGGGCGTGTATTAGTGCTGTGATTTTCAAACCCTTTAAAAGAAGCCATTCTAAGTATATGATTATGTATTAACTACAAATTATTCTTCAGTATGTTTGAAGATTCTGGGGTGCATATTGGCTTTCAGTTTGTTTATAGACTGGAGAAGTTCTCTTTCTACTGTGTATGAAATGCTAAGTAGATTGCCAACCCTGATTTTACCAGCACACTATTCTCCATTAATATAGTACATCCAGCTGTCCACAGACACAAGAAGCAACAGGTCTTCCTGCCTGCAAGCGTTTTTGTTAAGGACAAAATGATCCGCATGATTTGGCAGTCAAAAAGTTCTGAGTAAACAAGCAAATATGGCCCCAGGACAGCTTTTGCTCTGTATGCACTTTAGGAAAGGTGGATTGCATACCTTGCACCCCTGCAGATTGAAATGGACAAGTTAATCTCTGGTCAGTGAGGTGCTCAATGGAAATGCGCTGTTAGGCACGCCACTAATGACTTCCGGCACTTCGGATAAGCACGGAAAATCCACTGTCATCGAAAAGAGGAAAGAGGTGTTTGTAAGACATACGCATTGTCACCACTATCAAATTATTTTATGACTCCATAAAAAACAATGATCAAGTCTGTATTTATCTGGTAGCTATTTATCTGCTAGTGGAGCGGCGCGAGAGCACTGATGGGTTATTCCAACTGTTTTTTGGGAAGTGGGAATAATAACACTGGGGTGATTTAGCACAATATTAAAGTACAGGTGTAAGAATTTGTAGTAATTAACAGGTTACAAAATCAAAAGAAAAAAGCTTATTTTACCTGTCGAGAGAAGACACTTCTATGCATAGCCATGCTTTAGGCCTTATTGGTTTGTCCTAATCATAAGCAAATCGGTTAATTAAATAGTAATTTTCACTTGATCACATTACTGGAATAGCACAGTGACTGATACGCAGGGACACCGATGCAATAACTTTCTTTGTTGATCAAATTTGAACTCCAGTTTGAATAAGTGCTTTATGCAGCTCTGCACACTGGTAGATTAAATGTCTTTCTTCTGCAAAGAATCCAGAAACGGCCCAACACCTCTGGCCTGAGACCTGCATCGTGTCCCATCAGAGCGCCAGATCTCAAACAACACATTATAGAAGAAAATCACAGTGTCAGACTTTGATAGTATCAGTTTCTTGTAACCTAACCTTGCAAAAACAAAAAAATAAAAGAATACATCTAGAAATTAAAAGTGCTGAACGCTACTGTATGTCAAAGCAGCAGTTTCCACACCCAGTGCTAAAACCTGAAGGAGACGTATCGCCTGATTGTAAAGTGTTTCAAAGTGCTTTTAGCCATTTCAACCTGTTCTTTGAAACGGATAAACTCTCAACAACATTGTGAAATTTTCACAGATACCACTCCATCGAAAAGATTTAATGAAGAGTTACGAGGCTCGGCAGTGATGGCACTTACCCCCGATACAAGACAATCTTCATGGAGCTCTGCTGCGCTTTTCCTCCCTGTCACAGAGTCTGTGCTTGTGCCTCTCTGCAGGAAGCAACACGGCTTGTGCAGCTCGACTCTAATGAAGCTATTTAGGGAGATCCTAATCCTCTCGGGACCACCAGAAATCCTGTGACATCAGGGCTGCATGACTCCTGCGTAACGGAGGATTTCGCAGAGATCAGGCAGCCCGTGGCTGGGGATTATCTGACACTGGAAATACGGACATAGGCAAAAACACCAGCTCATGCAGAGAGGGCCGGTCAGGTCTGCACGCATAACTGGACAGTGTGAGGCTGTCACCAGCCCCCCCAGCCCCCTTCGAACTTGTCCCACTCACTGTCCGCCTTCATTTCAATTCTACCACTTTCTGGCCGTGGCGCCCTAAGTGAGCTAAAAAAAGATGCTTGGAGCAAGAATTATAAACAGTAGTTAACAGCAAAACTGGGATTGACTGCACCTGAAGCAAGTTTTGTTTTAAGGTTGTAAGATGAAACCTGCTACTTTCAGCACCTGTTAGTCACTTAAAGCTTTAAAGGCTGTTAAAAGATTTTAATACAGTTGAAAGTATCCATTTAGCACAAAGATGTGGCACTGAGCTTCAGTGACCATGTCTAGTCCTAGTGGTGCTAAGGAAAGTAGGTTTTCAACGCCTTCGAATCATAACCTGTTTGATACCTCAGGAAAAACCTGAACTTGAACTTTATTGCCATATGTAACCCGTACTGGTACAATGGAATTCTTACTTACAAAAAGTCTCTCGATTGTAAAACAAGTGTAAAAAACAAAAAAACAAAACAAAGTGCAAACAGTGCATCAAGATAATATACAAACAAACAGCAATGTGCAACTAAACATGTAGACAGTTTGAATGTAAACAATACAGATGTGTAAACAATGACTGGAGATGTGCAATAGATAAGAAATCATAATGAGGTAGATGGTGATGGTGTAGGTGTGGTCCGAGGGGGATGGCTAAATGTGTTCGCCAATCTCACTGCTTGTGGATAGAAGCTATTGAAGAATCTAGTGGTCAGTGTCCGTATGCTCTTATATCTCTTGCCTGAGGGCAGTAGGGTGAAGAGCTCATGCCCGGGGTGGTGACTGTCCTCTGTGATGGCCAGAATTCTACCACGGCAGCGGTCCTCATAGAGCTGTTTAATCTCGTTGAGACCGCAGCCGATGATCTTCTGGGCCATATTGACCATTCTCTGCAGTGCCTTTCTTTCTCGCGAAGAGGTGTTGCCATACCACACGGTGATCCTGTTGGTGAGGATGCTCTCGATGGTGCAGCGGTAGAAGTTCACCAACACATGTATTGGCATCCCCCATCGCTTGAGGCACCTCAAGAAATAAAGGCGCTGCTGAGCCTTCGTGAAACTGCTAGAACTAGTAGCTGTCAAGCAGAACAATCATGAGACCCTGCAGAGCTTAATGAAAGGATAGGAGTGTATTATCGTTTCCTGCTTAAAATTATTTTGGTTCTCTTTATCACCTTGTTACTATGGCATATCATTTTATAAAACATCAGAAAAAACATTTTTGATATGCAGCTCTTGATGTACCTTGATGTGCAGTGTAACTTATGAGTCTGTAAAAAGAACAATGCAAACTAGTCTGCAAGCATTCAGTTTCAAAACTTGAGCAGAAGAGATCAGTCTCTAAGAAAACACATACAATTTTTTTTTTCAGAACTTTGTACTGGTCACTAAATATTATTGTATTCTACGACAGTGTAGTTACAGATCTGGTAGACTTGGCCCACGCCAGATTCTTTTTCTGAAGCCCCTTCCTTTATTTAAGCTGTTGATAACTATGCTGACTCTCTCCCTTTAATAGATTTATAGTACACTAGAATGAGAAATAAGAGGAGTTCATTCCGTCAGCCTTGCTTGTTTGCTGGATGAGATGCAAAGGGAATCTGAAACTGCTTCCGGCTGCTTTAAGGAGATCACAGTCCAACACATGGCTGGGAAGACTGTTCCAGACATAAA